GGGGAAGGAGTGACAAACTTGTTATTTTGTGTTATTTCGGTTTACTGCTACTTAAGGATACATCTCATTAGTTTTGGGAATTAAGCAATAATAATCAGAAAACGCAATCCCTAATCTCTCTCTTCTCTCTCTTGTTCTTCCCCAATTCTGCAAATCCCTAAATTCTTCTCTTCTCAATTCCTAAATTCCCAATTGGGATTTCTTGTGTCTTACATCTAGTATCAGAGTCTGCGATCGTCGATGAGTTCTCCCAACTCTCGGATCTGTCATGGGCAGAATTGCGGGACAGAGCCCTCCGCATCAGCCGCCGTTGGCTGCCTGCCGAGCCAGCGCCCGAGCTCCCCGCCGCAGTTTCTGTCGCCGCCCCCGAGCTCCCCGACGTGGTACCCTTCACCGGCCCCGCCGCGCGTTTCCCTTCACCAGACGCGGCCTCACCGTGAGCTCCCCCCAGCGCCGCCTGCGCAGCGCCCCACGGTGGCCGCCACGATCGCGACCAGCGCGTCCCGCGCGCCGGAGCCGAGCCTCTCACTACATTTGGTGGCGGGATGGGCTTCGCCGGGTACCCTTCGTTTTCAAGCTCGAGTCGAAGAGCGCATGGCCATCACCCTGGTCGACAGTGGCGCTTCATTGAACTTTGTGGGAGAGGAGTTCGCCAAACACCTGCAGCAGGCGCCCTTGGCCGCCGATCCCATGGTCGTGAAGGTGGCGAATGGTGCCCCCTTACGATGTGAATGGGTTTTTCGAGGTATTTCCTGGGATATTCAAGGTATGCATATAACCACTGATCTGTATGTGTTGCCAATCAGGGGATTCGACATCATTCTAGGGATTCCGTGGCTGCAGAGTCTAGGACGCGTGACTAGTGATTGGCAGCGCTTGACTATCCGATTCAAATGGAGGGATATGGAGTGGATTTTGCAGGGTCTCACCACGGTTGTCGGCTCCATCTCGTTCAAGGACTGCAGTCCGGAAGGCGAGGCCTAGTTGGCCATCATGTGCTGGCCGGTCGAGGAAGGGAAGCGATAGGTACTCCAGCCGGAGCTGCAGGAGTTGCTCGGGCACTATTCAGATTTATTCGACACTCCCGCTGCCTTACCTCCCCATAGACTGGTTGATCACCAGATTAAGCTCAAGGAGGGAGTGGAGGCGGTGAATGTGCCGTACAGGTATGGGCATTCGCAAAAGGAGGAAATTGAGAGACAAGTCTCTGAGATGCTGACCACGGGCCTGATTAGGCCGAGCACCAGCATGTTTTCGTCGCCGGTTTTGCTGGTAAGGAAGAAGGATGGGACATGGCGATTCTGCACTGATTACCGGGCTCTTAATGAGGCCACTGTGAAGGATTGTTTCCCCATTCCGACGGTGGACGATATTCTCGACGAGCTTCATGGGTCTTGCTATTTCTCTAAGTTCGATTTGAGGGCAGGGTATCACCAGATCCGGATGCAGGAGGTGGACGTCCATAAAACGACATTTCGTACGCATTATTGGGCACTATGAGTACCTAGTGATGCCCTTTGGGCTATGTAATGCGCCCTCCACTTTTCAGGCAGCCATGAACGACATTTTTTGGCCGCTCTTACGTCAGTATGTTACAGTTTTCTTCGATGATATCCTCATTTACAGTCCGTCATGGGCAGATCACTTGAGACATTTGCAGGAGGTGTTCGAGATCTTGAGACAGAACCAGTACTATATCAAGGCTTCTAAGTGCGAGTTCGGGGTACAGGAGGTGGAATATCTGGGTCATATGGTGACTCCACAGGGTGTGAAGGTGAACCAGTCCAAGATTCAGGCGATGTTGGACTGGCCGGTTCCCGCGACGGAGACGGAGTTGCAGGGATTTTTGGGGCTGCCGGTTATTATCGGAAGTTTGTGCAGGGTTATAGCATGATCGCCAGGCCACTGACGGATCTACTGAAGAAATCCGGGTTTGCATGGTCACCAGTGGCAGAGGTCGCATTCCAGCGGCTCAAACAGGCGATGGCTACCACTCCGACTCTAGCAATGCCGGATTTTTCCAAGCCATTTGTTATAGAGGCGGATGCTTCGGGCCGGGGAATCGGGGCGGTGTTGTCTCAGGACCGCCATCCCATCGCCTTTATGAGTGAGACGATGGCGCTGTCTAAGGAGGCTTGGTCGACATACAAGAAAGAGATGCAGGTGATCATTACGGCGGTACAGACCTGGTGGCCGTACCTCCTGGGGCAGAAACTTCACATATACACAGACCACCAGAGCTTGAAGTACCTTTTAGAGCAGAGGGTGTCTACACCAGATCAGCATAAGTGGGTGTCGAAGCTGTTAGGCTACGACTATGAGATCCACTACCGACCAGGGCTACTAATGTGGTGGCGGATGGACTATCGAGGAAACCGGGCAGCGAGATCCTCGCCGCAGTGACAGGGCCTGTTCCGTAGTTTTGGGATGAGCTACGGGCGTCCATGGAGACCAGTCAGTATTTACAGGATTGCTGGGATATCGCCGTGAGCGACAACCCGGGGCATTATCTGTTTCGACAAGGGCTGGTGACATTCAAGGGCCGGGTGGTCCTTCCTCCCGGGTCAAATCTGGTCACCTCAGTTTTGCAGGAGTTCCATGATTCTCCGATGGGCGGTCATTCAGGCGCCGAGAGGACACTCCGCCGGATTAGAGGCCACTTTTATTGGCCCCGGATGGCGCAGGCAGTGAAGGCATATGTGGAGTCATGTGATACGTGCCAGAGGGTGAAGCTATCTCACCTGCGACCGGCCGGACTTCTTCAGCCGATGCCGGTGCCGGAGCGGATATGGGAGGACATTAGCATGGATTTCATCGTGGGGTTACCTCCCTCGGGTGGCAAGATGGTGTTGTTGGTGGTAGTGGATTGGCGCATCCGTACACCGCGAAGTCTGTGGCAGAGCAGTTCGTATTGGGAGTAGTGAGACATCATGGGTTCCCCAGATCGATCGTCAGTGACCGTGACCTGGTTTTCTTGAGCAGGTTTTGGCAGGAGGTCTTTGCAATGGCACGGACGGTTCTCCGCATGAGCTCGGCCTATCATCCCCAGACAGATGGCTAGACGGATATCGTTAACAAGCACCTCGAACACTATTTGAGGTGCTTCGCCCATCAGCAGCCGAAGCAATGGCTGGTCATGCTCCCTTGGGCGGAATTATGGTATAACACCACGTATCATCGGGGCATCAAAATGACCCCGTTCGAGGCACTATACGGGCGGCCACCCCCAACGTTTGTGCGTTACAGGGGCGGATCGAGTTCGGTTGATGCGGTGGACAGGTTGCTGGGCGTGCGGGACGAGGCCTTGGAGCAGCTAAGAACCAATTTGGCTGCAGCGAACAACCAAATGAAGCAGGCTGAAGATGCAGGTCGGCGGGATGAGGAGTTTGAAGTGGGGGACTGGGTACTGCTGAGGCTGCACCCCTATCGTCGGGCGTACCATAAGCTAGCGACTCGATTCTTTGGGCCGTATGAGATCTTCCAGAAGGTCAACCCTGTTGCTTACCGGCTACAGTTGCCAGCAGTGTCGCGCATCCACCTGGTGTTCCACATTTCTTTGCTGAAAAGGTACCGGAGCCCGGCAGATAGAGTGACTTCGACGGCTCCCCCGGTGACAGCCTATGGCGACTTGGATCTGGTTCCTCTCAAGGTGCTGGAGACTCGCTGGACGAAGAAGGGAGGCAAATTGGTGGAAGAGAGCTTGGTGCAGTGGAAGCACGTGGAGCCGGAAGATGCTACCTGGGAAGAGTCGGAGGTGCTTCGTCAAAAATTTCCGGACTTCGATCTCGAGGACGATGTCGATTATGAAGAAGGAGGGGATGTGGGAAATACAGTCGAAGGGTAGAGGGAGAGGGCCGACTCGGCCAAGAGAGGGGAAGGAGTGGCAAACTTGTTATTTTGTGTTATTTTGGTTTACTGCTACTTAAGGATACATCTCATTAGTTTTGGGAATTAAGCAATAATAATCAGAAAACCCAATCCCTAATCTCTCTCTTCTCTCTCTTGTTCTTCCCCAATTCTCCAAATCCCTAAATTCTTCTCTTCTCAATCCCTAAAGTCCCAATTGGGATTTCTTGTGTCTTACACCTAGTGTGTTGATTGAGTGTTTTATATGATATTTGAGGTATTATTCATGAATGATTGAGTGTGATAGCTTTAACTCAATATTGGTTAAAATTGACCTAGAGGGTGGAAATCCCCTTTTGGTCCAATAGGAAGCTAGACTTCTTAGCCACTTGGGTATCGGAGTAGGTTAGGTTTCCTAGCCTATCGTTGTCACCCTTAGCCGAAAGGTTTAGCGAGTTAGCTTTCTAACTTGTTGCAATGATTCTCAATTAGCTAATTAAGAGAGTTAGAGATCTCCTTGGTTAATTGGTGATGAGGGCTAGGTTCCCTAGCTATGAATCACAATCCTTAACATAACGGTTAAGAGAGCTAGTTCTCCTAGCTTATATTTGTTGATTTTCCTTCATTGATCGACTAAGGGAGTTTGTCCTTAGCTAGTTGAACCCACCTTGCGGTGTATGAACACTTCCTTCACACTAGAGCTTTGTTTGTCGTTTCTTAGCATGAGACTAGGGGGAGCAATACCCAGGTGAAGTCCCCTCAAGTAGAATTCTCCTCCATTTACTTTCCTTGCTTGTTTAGTTTGTACTTTTCTTAGTTTTAAACCCAAACCCATTTTGCTAGATAACAAATTAAGCGATTGAAGTAGGGGTACATGGACCGGCCCGGGTTGAAAAATTTGAATACTTGCCCTATACTGCACCCGACTAGAGTTTAAAAACTTGGGCTCTAGTCGGGATTAATTCGTGGTGTAGTTTCGTGCGAGTCACTAATCCTATGCCTCCATCTTCCTTGTTAGCGACAAGGTGAACACTACACATCATGTAAAGGGGGATCTATCACACAAGAACAAAACGGATGGCACAAGTCTCACATGGCTATCTAGGTGCTCAATCATTCGTTCTAACTCCCTAAACTCGATGCATAGGCAACTGTGAAAAGTAAGTAATTGATTCAAAACATCTATCGGTTCACAAACATATGAGAAATGAACCTATGCACAAACCTAATACATGTCTCAATCATCATCATAGGTTGCACATAATAACAAGCAAATCATCCATAGACAATCATGCAAATGTAGAAGTTTCTATGCTTGGAGCCCTCAAAATTTAAAAATTTGGGCATACAACTAGGCTCCAAGCATTCAAAATCACACCAAACATTCACACACACATGCATTATGGACTACCTCCCACACTTAAGCTTGACATTTCCCTCAATGGGGTAAAAGAAGGAGGTAGAACGATGTTACCGGATAATGGTGAATGTTGGTGTTCGGGAGTTGAGGGCGGGTGAGATCCGGAAGAGCAAGGAGGTGGCAAAAAAAAAGCGAAAGCTCTCCATTGGTCGTCTTATAAAAAGGAGAAGATATGCAAACCGTTGATGGTTGGGTTGCCTCCCAACAAGCGCTTCTTTAACGTAGTGATCCTAACAGTTGCTCTTCAAGTTTCGGTCCACCCAAGAACCTCCTTGAAGTTGAGGTTCTTGTTGGTGAGGTGGTGTCTCAAGTCACGAGCTTTGGACAAATCCATTATTGAGGGCTCGTGAACTTGAGTTGTCATGAGGCTCCACCCACGAGACCTCTCCTTCTTTCTTTCTTCTTCATTCTCGATTGGCTTCCATCGCATCCACTAAGAGGGATCGTTGATGGCTCGGCCTTGGATTTGCAAAGAGATGCAAATGGGTCCTTCTCCAAAAGTGCATCAAGGTCAGGTGGAAAGCTTTCATAGCACTTGTAACTTGTGAATGCTTCATCCACCCTGACCCCGTCCTCATCTTGGACACCACTTGCTCCTTCTACTTCATCTTCAAACTCCCCTCCTTCTTCTTCCATTTGTTCCTCCCCTAGGGAACAATCAAGATTTCCCCTTCTTCAATGCTCACTTCCTCCTCTTCAACCTCTTTTCCGACCTTCCCATTCCTGTCTTCAAGCACTGTTTGGAGGGCAAGATGCCATTCAAGATCATAGAAAGGATTCTCTTGCTCCTCCACAGCCATGACTCGGTCTTCAAAGTTGCTCTCGGGAAGGGGAGAGTGATGAGAATCGTCAATGAAACCTTCTTATTCGTCCTTGCCACGGGAGCTCTTCGGTGTGAGTTCGTTTTTCTCCACACGGTTATTGATGCTCTAAAACACAACACCTAACAAAGGCCAAGTGTAACCAATGAAAGGGACTGCAGTATAGTGGCTCAAGTGATAAATATCGAATCCACGGGTCTCTAGAGTTACTATTACTCAGCTTCAGTTTATTATTTAGCAAATCAGATTAAGATGAAAGAACTAAAACTACTCTAGCAAACTACAGTTAAAGTTAATCTAATTACAGGTTGGGAACTCACTTAGGTATGATTCCCCCTAGCCACTAGCCAGATTAACGATTGATGATCTCTAACCTGTTTCACTTTCATTCACAATGCGGAGAATCCTTGACTAGACCTTGAATCTCGACTAAAGGAACAAGGCCCTCTTGAGTCAATTGCCTAGAGGGACGTATCCTTCTCTAGAACAACTGATCAAGGCGTTCTGAACTAGACTCCCTCTATCGAAAGGGGTTCTCAATCGATACAAAGCAGTGAATCCACCCTCGACTAAAGCAATCGATCCACTACTATCAATCTATGGTGCTCTATTGACCTAATCAGGTATTCCCTCTCATAGAATCAAAGCAGAATCAATAATCTCGACTAAAGCAGAATTGAATCATGAAAACATGCATAGATTGAATATGAACTCAAGATTATCCAGTCAGAGTACTCATACAATCATCCAATCAAACAAACATAGCTAGGGTTCCTCAAAACCTAAGTGAAGGGAAGTTACTCCATAGAGAAGAGAGAGACTGCAGTAAGAATCTTCAGATGATCAGTCTTCAAGTCCGGGCTTGTTCCTCGAGCTTCCAAGGCGAAGAAATCCTCCAACTCCACTCCAAGAATGCCCTCAAATCGCCCTCTCTCTCTTTGGTTCGTCCCTTGGGTGTTTGGGATCCAAAACCCAGCTCTCCTCTCTCCTTTGGCTGAAAATCGGGTTTTAAGCACAAAATCCCGACTCACATGGCCAGGGTGGCACGGCCGTGTGGCTTACCCAGTTGCCCGTGTGAGTCAAAACGCTGCGTTCCAATTAGTTCGAATTCCAGGCTCTTGCACGGCCAGAGTGGCACGACCGTGTGGACATCCCCTCTTGCCCGTGTTTGCTCTCGCAGAATGTGGCACGGCCAACCCGGCCACTTGCACGGCCGTGTCGATCCTCTGCTCTGCCCGTGTGTGCTCTCGGCAAAACTCGCACGGCCAGGCCATTACTTCACACGGGCGTGTGATCATCAGGGCAGCCCGTGTGACCTCCTTTGTGACTTGTCTCGCGCCCGATCTTCGTCCAATCGACCCCGAACTCGCTCCTAAACCTTCATTCACTTGCCAGGACCTGAAATATCACAAACAAGCACAACCTAGCGTGAAATCGGTCTAAAACACGAGAAACCACCTCTCAAACGGTGTAAGAACAGGGGTGAAAACATGTGTAACTAACGGTCTATCAAACTCTCCCACACTTAACCGTTTGCTTGTCCCCAAGCAAACCTAACTCAAACCAATGCAACTCTCCAGACCTCTATAGCAACAAACAACCCAGATCGTAGGTAGAGGACTTCCTAGATCATTTAGCAACTTACGAGGTCAACCGACGCACAAGTCATCTCATAGCTTCTTATCGAGTCGGCATCATGGCAAAAAGTGAACAGAGGACAAATGAATTGTGGACGGAGAGATTCTCAAAAACAAAAGATCATGGACTCACATTTTTCAAGGTGCTCTATTTTCTTTGAAGATGGTTGGAACCCCTTTTTTTTCTGTTTTGCTTGTTTTCTGTTATTTTTCTTTCCTTTTTCTTTTCAAGGGTCCCAACCTGCTCTTACCGGCCATGCCAGGAGCGGATGTCTCGAGCCTCGTGCGGGGGAAAGACATGTAAGGGGGCTGGAGGTAGTAGGTGGAAATTGGGAACGGATTCCCGTCTCCCCTTGCACACTTTCGCCCTATTCGCACGGGAGACGTTTATTTTGAAGCACATTTTCGAGCACCTGTTATTTTCAAAGCATGAAACAAGAGTCCATGACAGGCAGAGAATCCACAACACCACACAATTCAAGGGTCCTAAGATCACTAATTCACTCATTCAACCAACACAATATGAAGAAGAAATGAGACTTCTTAAATGCATCAACATCCTCCATAGTGCTACACTACCTCCCTAGGTTGCATATTACTATAAAGACTGTCAATTCAAAGCATACTGAGCAGGCAATTGCATGGAAACACGTACTTGGAGCCCTCAAATTTAAAAATTTGGACCTAGGCTCCAAGCACACAAACAGCCAAACATTCACCCGCATACATAATCGAACATCCCCCCACACTTAAGCACGACATTGTCCTCAATGGAGGAAAGATAAGGAGGGTAGAACGAAGTTACCAGATCAAGGGTGAATGATGATGAACGGGTCAGGCGGTGCATTCCAGAAAGAGAGAGTAATCAGAACACAAACACCACACAAAATCTCACAAAGGTTGAGTTATTGACTCTAAAATCAAATAACAAAACTGACTCAACCGAGGAGAAATAGAGAAAGAAATGCAAACCGACTGGTTGGGTTGCCTCCCAACAAGCGCTTCTTTCACGTCGTGAGCCGGACGATGGCTCCTAAGTTTCGGTCCATGATAGAACCTCCTTGAAGTTGAGGTTCTCGTCGATGAGGTGGAGTCTCAAGTCATGAGCATGTGGTGAGGCAGGTGATGAGGGCTCATGTACTTGATGCAGATGAAGTCTCCACCCTCGAGACCTCTTCTTCTCTTCTCTCGTCTCATTGCCCCAAACCAGATAAGACAGCATCGATTGGCCACCATCGCGTCCACCAAGAGGGACTGATGTCGAGGTGGCCTTGGTCTGGCAAAGAGACACTGCAAATGGGTCCTTGCTAAGCAGTTCCTCGAAGTTTGGTGGAGATATCACATGTAACTCATGGCCGGTGCAGGCCTCTTCCACCTTAACTCCGTCCTCAGCCTGGACACCAATTGCTTCTTCAACCCCCCTTTCTTCTTCATGTGGTATCACCCCTGGGAAATGATCAAGAACTCCTCCTGCTTCACTTTCGTCATCCTCCACAACTTCTTTCTGCACCCTTTGTTGCTCTTCTTCTTCTAGCACGGATTGGAGAGCAAGTTGCCAAGCAATTTCTTTCATGAGATCTTCTTGCAACTCCTCACTCATGCCCGCCTCTTCAAAGCGCAGTTTGGGGTGTGGGAAGGTGTGGTCGGCTACGACATGACACTCCTGATCATGATCATCACGGGAGCTCTCCGTGACAACTTCAGTGTGCTCCACAATGTCCTTGTAGCCTTCTTCTTCCTCCTCATCTTCTTGTATGGTAGCAGAAGGGTGATCTGGAGCAGGTTGCGCCCAAGATCGCTCAAGATCATCGACACTCTTCTTAAGGCTCAGGAGGATCCCCTCTGTTTCACGATAGGCCTGGACACAATGATCCATACTGGAGCATGATCTCTCCATGAGAAGTCTCAATTCATAGTGTGGATCTGGCTGTGGAGTGTAGCATGGCTCTGCAGAATGGCCCGTGAAGGCCGCCATGGGTAACTCCAGCTCCAATGGCCCTTCTGGTTGTGGGAGAAATTCTTCTTGGTAATGAGGTTGTTCTTGATATGCCCAGGGGTCCGGTTGTTCTCCGTAGTAAGGGGGTTGGTACTGGAACCCGAATCCATAGTCTTCTCCGCCTTGATTGCTCCAGGGAGTCTCGGGGTAATACCACCCAGATGGTGGTGGATACCCCCAATGATTGGAGAAGCCATTAGGATCCATGATTCAGATCTGCACCAACAAAAACAAAAACACCCAAGTGAAAAGCAAGGGTGGTAAAGAAAAGAAACGAAAAACGCTAAAGTAACAAACTTCTGCCTTTCCTAATACTCTAGAAAGTCCCCGGCAACGGCGCCAAAAACTTGATGCTCTAAAACACAACACCTAACAAAGGCCAAGTGTAACCAATGAAAGGGACTGCAGTATAGTGGCTCAAGTGATAAATATCGAATCCATGGGTCTCTAGAGTTACTATTACTCAGCTTCAGTTTATTATTTAGCAAATCAGATTAAGATGAAAGAACTAAAACTACTCTAGCAAACTACAGTTAAAGTTAATCTAATTACAGGTTGGGAACTCACTTAGGTATGATTCCCCCTAGCCACTAGCCAGATTAACGATTGATGATCTCTAACCTGTTTCACTTTCATTCACAGTGCGGAGAATCCTTGACTAGACCTTGAGTCTCGACTAAAGGAACAAGGCCCTCTTGAGTCAATTGCCTAGAGGGACGTATCCTTCTCTAGAACAACTGATCAAGGCGTTCTGAACTAGACTCCCTCTATCGAAAGGGGTTCTCAATCGATACAAAGAAGTGAATCAACCCTCGACTAAAGCAATCGATCCACTACTATCAATCTATGGTGCTCTATTGACCTAATCAGGTATTCCCTCTCATAGAATCAAAGCAGAATCAATAATCTCGACTAAAGCAGAATTGAATCATGAAACATGCATAGATTGAATATGAACTCAAGATTATCCAGTCAGAGTACTCATACAATCATCCAATCAAACAAACATAGCTAGGGTTCCTCAAAACCTAAGTGAAGGGAAGTTACTCCATAGAGAAGAGAGAGACTGCAGTAAGAATCTTCAGATGATCAGTCTTCAAGTCCGGGCTTGTTCCTCGAGCTTCCAAGGCGAAGAAATCCTCCAACTCCACTCCAAGAATGCCCTCAAATCGCCCTCTCTCTCTTTGGTTCGTCCCTTGGGTGTTTGGGATCCAAAACCCAGCTCTCCTCTCTCCTTTGGCTGAAAATCGGGTTTTAAGCAGAAAATCCCGACTCACACGGCCAGGGTGGCACGGCCGTGTGGCTTACCCAGTTGCCCGTGTGAGTCAAAACGCTGCGTTCCAATTAGTTCGAATTCCAGGCTCTTGCACGGCCAGAGTGGCACGGCCGTGTGGACATCCCCTCTTGCCCGTGTTTGCTCTCGCAGATTGTGGCACGGCCAACCCGGCCACTTGCACGGCCGTGTCGATCCTCTGCTCTGCCCGTGTGTGCTCTCGGCAAAACTCGCACGGCCAGGCCATTACTTCACACGGCCGTGTGATCATCAGGGTAGCCCGTGTGACCTCCTTTGTGACTTGTCTCGCGCCCGATCTTCGCCCAATCGACCCCGAACTCGCTCCTAAACCTTCATTCACTTGCCAGGACCTGAAATATCACAAACAAGCACAACCTAGCGTGAAATCGGTCTAAAACACGAGAAACCACCTCTCAAACGGTGTAAGAACAGGGGTGAAAACATGTGTAACTAACGGTCTATCAGTTATCATTGATTGATCCTTCAACCTCTTGTTTCTCCTCCAATGATGAAAGGAGATAGCTTGCACAAGCTCGTGCCACCTTCTTATCTAGTGTCAAGCCGGGAGGAGGGAGGGGTTGGAAATCCATGTCGGAGCTCATTCTTCCAAAATTCTCATGGCTCGCCTCTTTGAATTCCTCTCTTTCTTCTAATGGTAGGAGGCAATTATGAGCAAGTTGTGCACATGCTTGCTCTACAAGCCCTCCTAGCCTCTCCGCGCATCGAAGGAGCTCCTTCGATTCTCGAAGAAAGGTGGAGTCGAGAGGGTTGGCAATTGGGAGGTCCATGCTAGAGCACCCTTCATCGGTGCCCCTGACGAATCGCTCCACCATGAGCTCTAATTTCCTCTTTGGCTCTGGTTGTGGAGTGGCACATGGTATTGAGGTGTGTCCCATGAAAGCCTCCATGGCGAACTCCAACTTGGATTTCTCCTCGGGTTGTTGAGGGGAATATTCTTGATATAGGGAAGCTTCTTGATACTCCCATTGGTATGTTGTTCATCTTGGAAGGGGGGTTGGTAGTAGAACCCAAATCCTTGACTTGCCCATTTTGATCGTCCCATGAAGTTCCGGGGTAACCCCTCTCGGGTGGTGGTGGATACCCCCACATTTGGGTGAAATCATAAGGATCCATGATCCAATACCTATAAACACAAAAAACACTAAAAAGGAAAACCAAACACACACAAACCAACATTCAAGATGAACAGTGGTAAACAAAACGCACATGAAACAAAAAACACAAACAAAAGGCAAGAAAGAAAATGCTAGAGTAACACTAAGTGACCTTTTCTGAGTAATGGATCGTAAGGCTCCCGACAACGGCGCCAAAAACTTGAATCGCACGAAACTACACCGCGAATTAATCCTGACTAGATCCCAAGTTTTTAACTCCCAAAAACTTGAATCGCACGAAGCTAGGGAATCTAGCTCTCTTAACCGATCAACCGAGGAAATCCTAACTCCCTTAGTCGACCAATTTAGGATTGTTGAATTAAGTTAGCGGTCTAACTCTCGTAACCTTTCGGTTGTGGATTGCAACTCTAGGCTAGACGTTCTAGCCCCTCTAAACTAGTTAACTAAGGATTGCAAACCAATCCCTCGGAACTTAATCCCGATGGCGGAGAGACCAATCACGTGGGAATCAAGGTGATAATCCGATACTTGAGGTTTTGGCCCTAGGTTAATATAGAAAGGGTTACCCGAGTGGGTAGGAGTTCAAGCTCCCTATGGCCCAAAGGGGGATTTCAACCTCCTAGGTCTATTTGACCCAATAATGAGATAATGCAAGCAACACCCACAAATCATGAACTCCTAATAGAATCATATTTTTACATCCTAACACATATCTAGACTAGGATTCACAATACCCAAGTGAGTAGGTGGGCTATTCCATAGCTAGACAAAGGAAAACAAGAAAAAGGAGAGAAAGAACCATGAAGAGATGACAACCTTCCTTCCTCCTTGCTTGAATCTCCCTTGAGAGGTAAGAATCTTCACTCCTCTAACTTAGGGAAAGCCCAAATCCCTTTCTTCCTCCTTTGAATGGCACTTTCTCTCTCTAGAATAGGAAGACGAAACACTTATCTCTCAATAGCAATCCTCTTTACTCTGAAAACTAAAACCTACCAAAAAGCTCCCTTTTCTTCTTCCTTTCAGTTCTCACTTTATACTGTGATCGAGCTGAGTTCACGGCCTTCCAGTTCATGGCCGTGAACACCTAAACGTGTCCGTAAACTCGGAGTGTTGTGTCGAAATGCACCACTTCACTCACTTAAGTTCAAGGTTTGCACTCAAAGTTCACGGTTTTGGGGACCGTGAACTCACTCGGCGTCAGTAACCTCTGAAACCGCCCTCGACGCTTTGCGCTTCACGATTTGTTGTTCCAGTTCACGGTCCTGGTGACCGTGAACTTGCAGCTTTGAACGTGAATTGCGGCTGGTTCTTGGACGCCTTCGCTTCAATGTGACTTTGGACTTTTCTTTGGTTTTTGCTCTTTTTAACCTCTGATCATCCCGAAACTGGTGCTCGACCCTTCCATACGTGCTAGGACCTAAAATATATCAAAACAAGCACAACCTTGCGTGAAATATGTCGAGGGACGATGAAATATAAAGTCAAACTATCAAGAAATGAGGGGTAAAATGTATACATTTGGAGCCAAATCAGTACTGATTCAGGCTCAATTGTACACATTCTATCCCTAATTTTTTGATAGTTTGACTTTGCATTTGATAATCTCTCGACCTATTTTATGCAAGGTTGTGCTTATTTTAGTTAATTTAAGGTTCTAATACGGGTGGGACGCTCCAGGACGAGTTTCGAGTCATTCGGAGGTCAAAACGAGCCAAAAAGTGGAGGCTTTGCAATGTTTACGGGCTGAAGGCATTTGGCACGCCCTGAGTGGATGAAAATCACCCCCAGAGAGTGAAGTGCAAGACTTCAAGGGTAGCACTCATTTATCACGGTCTTGAAACCGTGATAATTACCCCTAGACCGTGAAGTTGCCAAATTCCAGCAGCCATTGTGCGTCTCGAGGGCCTAAAAGATATAACGATTCTGAGACCATGAAAATCACCCCCAGATCGTGAAAATGGCCAAAAATGGTGCGCTTTTGGGCGAGACCACCCTCTGCTTGCTATTATCATGACCGGGAACAATAACCATGAAGTAGGAACTATCGGGCAAATATAAAGACAACAGGTGGGAGAGAGAAAGGAGAGCTGGTTTTGGAGGAGAAATCGATTCTCTCTAGGGTTCCGACTCAAAACACCAAAGTGGAGTTCTAGTGTGTGTGTGTGTGTGCGAGAGAGAAGGAGAGAGAGAGTTATTGAGAGATCTTGGAGCTTAATTAAAAGCATTGATCAAGCTTGAAAGCAAGGAATCAAGCCTAGAAGAAGAAGATCTTGTGATCCAATTTCTAATCTCTCTTTTCTCTCTATAGAAACTCACCCTCTTCTCTTGAGGATTAAGAACCCTAGTTCTAGATTTTGATTGGGTGCTGATGTATGTGACATATTTCATGTTTGATTGATGATTTTACTTAATTGATGGATGTTTTCATGATGACATGAGTTGGGTTTACATTTTCATGAATTGAGCTTTTGACCTGGGAGGGAGAAAATCCCCTTAGAGCCCATTATTGGTGTCTTCGGGTCACTCCTTTTATATATTGTCCAGTAAATCCTCAAGGGAGTGTATTCGATCTACCTCCTAGAAATATATGAAACCCTGGGTTGAATAGAGCACCTACCCATCCATAGATTCGTCATTCGGGGTCGATATCGAGGGAGCCTATCTCCTAACGGTAGAGTATTGAGACAATCGAGCTAGGATAGTACTCAACATCGATCAAACGGCGGACCTAGGGGAATTCAAACCCAAGAGAGCTCCTACCTTGTAAATAGCTAGGTTAGTTAGTTTATTCTTCTTAATCACTATCCTAGATTGGCTAGATAACGAACCCTAAACCCAAAGTAAGGTAAGCTTAGATCCTCGTGGTACGATAAATTTTATTTGTTGCTTGCCAAATGTTACACACAGTCGTCGGTTATACTTGGCTGTCGATTGGAATGTGTAGTTAGAGTCCAGCCAGGTGCAATCTAGAAAGGATAGTGTAGCTCTATGGAGGATGTTGGTCGATGAGAAATCTAAACTCTACCTCACCCTATGTTATTTTTTTTATTAGTAGTGTTAGGATGCTTTACTTGTGTAGTTGACACGCTATGACACAACACCAAAATGCGACCAAGTATAATCGCAGTCCGGAAATGAAGAATACCGTAAGTTTAATTTATCAACCCGGGGCCTAGATGTACTGCCTACTCCGTGATTATCTATTATCTAGCAGGAATAAGTGAATGTATGTGAGTTCAAAGTAAAGCAGAAAGAAAGCAGTAAATTGTCCGGTTTCCTGAAGTAAGAGAAGAGTCACTCAGGAATGAGTCCCCCTATCTCTTTAGTTAGGTCCAAGTTGTAATTTACTTAGGTTGATATACTGTTGATTAAACTACAGAAGATCCGACAGTATCTTGGAATCTCTTAAGCTGACCAAGCCCTCTTGGAAAAACTAACTGGCAGACGACTAGTCTTCACCGGGATAGAAAGCTAAGGTAATTAACACAGAACTCCACTAATGGAATAGGATTCCAGTACAAAGCAATGAATTGACTAAATCTCGTATAATCAATCCACTCCTATCAATTAAAAAAGCTCTAACAACCAAATCAGATTCTATCTATCTTTGGTTGCACCAGAAATCAAAAGAAGTTGATAAGGATTCAAATGACTCAATAAACACACTTCAATTGATTATAATCAAGCAGTATATCAATCCAAAAGTCATTACAATCAAAATCCCTAACACATGGAACTAGGGTTCTTCATACCCAAGTGAGAGAATGGTCTACTCCATAGAGAGAGAGGAAAACATAAATCAAAGCTGTCATACTCATAAAGATGGGAATAATCTGCTCTGGGATGTCAATCTTCACTCCCGGGATGCAATCTGGGCTTCAATGGTGAGAAATCCACTGCAAATAGCTCCTAGTGTTTGTTCTTCACACTTTCTCTCTCTAGAACTCTGTTTTTGCTCAAAAAGTCGAATCCCTTCTCCAAAACCTGAAATTGGGTTAAGAAGTAGCTATCCTTGATTGCACGGCCAGACCGCACGGCCGTGCAACCTCCATCGCTGCCCGTGTAACCCAAAACGCAGAGTTTCAATTAATTCCGTGAGGGGAGTGCACGGCCGTTGCACGGCATGTGCAATCCGAGAGCCTGGCCGTGCAGCTTCTCGCATAATTCATCACGGCCGGAAATTACGTCGTGCACGGTCGTGCAAACCCTGGACGCGCATCTTCGCTCGCACGACCACCATGCACGATCGTGCGTCGTCCCGTCCTGGCCGTGCAACTCATCTGCTCTCCCTCGCTCGTTCAGATTTCGCCCAATCGACCCCTAACTCGTACTCCAACCTTCATTCACGCATTAGGACCTGAAATGTCATAAACAAGAACAACCTAGCATAAAATTGGCTTAAAACCCGAGATCCGAGCCTCAAACAGTATAAGAATGGCGGACAAAAACATGTGTATATATCGAGTCATCGAATTCCCCCACAATTAACTGTTTGCTTGTCCCCAAGAAAACCAAGTTAGGCACAAGGTAAGCTCAAAACATTTTAACCATGCAAACTTTGGGGACATATCAACGGCAACCTATCAAGGTATGCTTAAAACACGTGAATCATATTGGCTTTTAAACATCAACACATGAACAACCTCAACGACAACCTAGACAACCACCACAGATGACATTTGAGTGCAGCAAAATCGAGTAATGGAAGAGTCACCCTTCTGTTCACCAACCAACATAGACTTGACTCAACCACTCATTCAAGACAGTCACCTCATGCATAAAACTCAAGACATCAGAATCAAGACCGAGCAATCTAGGTCCTCACCAGGATAAAGAATGTAAAGAGTATAAGGAAATGATCGTTCACTCTCAACCCGTGGGCACATGGCAATTTGATGCGAAAATGCGCATGCTTATTCTCTCAATCCTAGCGTCTCTTCACCATGACGACAACCTCTTGACTCGCACGAAACTACACCACAAATTAATCCCGACTAGAGCCCAAGTTTTTAAACTCTAGCCGGGTGCAGTATAGAGCAAGTATTAAAATTGTCAACCCGGGCCGGTCCATGTACCCCTACTTCAATTGCTTAAGTTGTTATCTTGCAAAACGGTTTTGGGTTTTCAAACTAAGAAAACTACAAACTAAACAAGCTGTAACACCTTAGGCAAATCCCACATCGATAAAGCACGGGAGAGATCCATGGTTCATAAGTAGGAAACCGGCCTTAACTGACAAGACGCGTTTTAGGGTATAATGGAGGATTTCTAGTGAGAACTCCGAAGTTAAACGTGCTCAGTATGGAGTACAACAAGGATGGGTGACCTTATGGGAAGTCACCTTGAATTGCACCCCAAGTTGAAATCCATGCGGGTGTAGAGGCCCAAAGCGGACAGTATCTTGTCGGGAAAAGGTTCGGGATGTTACACAAGCAATAAAAAGTAAATAAAGAAAAACTCTATCTAAGGGAGCTTCACTCGAGAGTTGCTTCCCCCTAACTAGCCACCATGACTTGTTGGATTAAATGGAGTCGTGTGGCATAGGTGGTTGTGAACCGCGAGGGTGAGCAACTAGTGATTGATTTGTCACGGAATCAAATCACTAGCGATCGATTTGTCACGGGATCGATCCACTAACCAAGTCTATGGGAATCGCTAGGAGGAGCAACTAGTGATCCATTTGTCACGGGATGGATTCACTAGAGATCGATTTGTCACGGGATCGATCCTCTTACTCAGTGTCTAGTGGTTGCCTAGGTCTCTCCCTCAAATTGGAGTTTGAGCGGCTTAATCACAACCAACCTAGATGCAAACTTAAGTCAAGAGGGATGCTCATCTCTATCCTATATAGTAGACACAAAGAGCCCAAGAAAACCAAGCTTGTCAATCCTACCTAAAAAGGTGTGGTTTTCCTCTAATCTAGGTTAGGCAAGCACACAAGATTTGGAAAGCACAACTAAGCACAATCACCATGGAAGCACCTCTAATACTCAAATTGATGCAAACCCATACAAAATCATTCAATCTGAACAAGTAAGTACAAAGTATTAGTTAGGGATCTACAACACACAAGAGAAAAGAGTGAGTTTCTAGAGAGACAGAGAGGGATTACAAATTTGAGCTCAAGATCTTCTTCTTATAGGATCGAATTCTTGTCCACCCAAGCCTCCAATGATGCTCCAAGATCACTCTAGCACACACACACACACACACACACACTCTCTCTCTCTCTCACACACACACACACACACACACACACACACACACACACACACACACACACACACACACACTAGAACTCCCCTTTTGGTATTTTGGGAAACCCTAGGGAGGGAATTGAATTTCTCTCCACAAACCAGCTCTTCCTTTTCTGTCCCCGCTGCTGTCATCATATTTGCCCAAAAGTGATCAGTTCACGAACGCGTTGGCCAGTTCACGGTCGTGAACACCTAAACGCATCTGTGAACTCAATATCGTCCAAAATGCGCCGCTTTACTCTCGTGGGTTCACGGTCAATGGTCCCATTTCACGGTCTTAGAGAACTTGAACTCGCCTGGCGTCAGTAACTTCGGTAAGTGCCGTGGATGCCTTGATGTTTACGGCCCATGCCTCCTCTTCACGGTCATAGCAGACCGTGAACTGCGGCTGTTTTCTGGACGCCTTCACTTCACTGTTACGGGGCAATTGTCACGGTCGACTTCAGACTTTTCTTTGGTTTTTGCGCTTTTTGACCTCCAATTATCACAAAACTCGTCGTCGATCCTTCCAAACGTGCTAGGACCTGAAATGTATCAAAACAAGCACAACCTAGCATGGAATATGTCGAGGAATGATGAAATACTAAACGAATAAGAAATGAGGGGTAAAATGTGTACATTTGGGCCCGAATCACCTCTAAATTCTAGAGTTCACATATCGGGTGTCACCATTAACTAATCCGGAGGTCTTAGACACGGCTTCAGATGACTGGCTAGGGTCTTGGACATGGGGAAAAAGGCCTTTTAGGTGGTGGAAGAATTTATAACACAGGTTTCCACAGTTCCAAACCCAACATAGGTACCATCATTTAATCCATTTACTTTCTTTCTGCTATTCTTCATTGATTAAGTTCTTTAGAGCACAAAAGTGAAGAAGATTACAATAATGCTAGTATTTCTGAGACAGACTGCTAAGAAACACTACTTAATGAGCATGATTCAGATTTTTAGTAGTGGCTCTCTTTTGCTTTCATTCATTTTTTTCTTTATTTTTTTTTTCATTTCTTGAGAGAACCACCAACTCTGCACATTTTTCAAACACATGACCAACTTTTAAGAACTACCTCCAACCCTCATATTATTTCTAGCAGAAATAGCAGGGAGCCTGCAAAAGCCACTTTGTGGAACCTCTAAGAGATGCAAAATGGTGATTTTCATTATAGAGTGAAAGAAGGAAAGTTACACGGCTCAAAGGGGCTGACTAGGGGGAATGACACACCAGGACAGTCAATTTGGTCATGAGGCTAATCCTATGACTCCATCATCCTAACTAGTGGCAACGTGAATGCTACACATCATGGAAGAGGGATCTATCGCACAAGAAAGAAATGAGTAGGCTCAAATCTCACATGGCTACCTATATGCTCTATCTCTCATTCTGATTCCCTAAACTAGATGCATGAACGATTGTAGAAAGTAAGTGATCAATCCAAGTCACAGTTGGTAAGCAAAACAGTTGAAAAACTAAACCCCTACACAACTCTACCGCACGTCTCAGTCATCATTATAGGTTGTCCTTGTCACAATCAAGTTGCCATGCATCAATGTTAACAGCCAATCGATTCACCACATAAACCACAGTGCCCATATGATCATGCAAACATTAGTACTTGGAGCCCTCAAATCTTGTGATTTGGACAGTGGACTAGGCTCCTCCCAGCACACAAACTCATCTATTCAGTCAAAGAAAAACAAACCCCGACACTTAAGCACGACATTGCCCTCAATGGAGAAGAGGAAAAGATAAGGGGAACGATGTTACCGGGAAAACGAACTGCCGGGGTACTGGAAATGTGACCAGTCATCAGGGGCAGACTGGAAGGTGGACCAGTAGAAAGACACCGAGCTAGAGTCATAAAAAGACATTGGGTGACAGAAACCATAGTTCCAAGTGGAAAACCCAAAAAGAAACAAAAGAAAAACAAACCGTGGTGGGGTTGGCTCCCCACAAGCGCTTCTTTTACGTCTTTAGTTGGATGCAGAGGGTGGATGCTCAGAGCGGTGTAGGAACAGGTGCCTCTAAGAGTGGATCCACATCGCTCTTGAGGTACAACTTCAGATGGTGGCCATGCACACGACGGGTGTGACCACCAGCACTTGTCAACTCGACCTGGCCATCCGGCAGGATGCAAGCGAGTGAATACTCAAATGGCCAGGGCGATCGTGGCTTAGGATCCGGGACCAGCTCATAGTGGTCTCCAGCTTTCTTTTGAGCAGGCTTAGCTACCTGCAGTTTCGGCTGCCACTCCTCCTTGATCTTTTCTTTTGGTAACGGGGTGGACGGGAGTGACAGCGAAGGTATGGAAGGAGAGTCCTGTAAAATGGAAGGCACAGAAGGATACACGACAGACTCATGAACCTGGTGAGAGACAGCATGCAAAGGCGATAAAGTAGACTTATTATTAGCAATGGAAAATGTTATCTACTTCTCGCCATCCCTCAACATTAGGGTCCCATCATGCACATCTATAAGAGCTTTGGAGGTAGCTAGGAGAGGCCTACCTAGTATAAGGGGCACTTCTGCGTCCTCATTGATGTCTAAGACAACAAAATCCACAGGATAAAAGAATTTGCCAACCTTAACAAGGAGGTCTTTCACTATGCCCCTAGGATGAACTACAGATCGATAAGCTAATTTAATACTCTAGTTGCAGTTGGCTCACCTAGACCTAGTTTCTTGAACAAGGTATAGGGTATCACATTATTACTAGCACCTAAGTCCGCCAAGGACCTCTCAACATGTTTTTTTACCGATAGAACATGTGATCGTGAAACTACCTGGATCCTTCTACTTCTGCGGGAGCTTGTTCTGCAGCACGGTCGAACATTCCTCGCTAAGCTCCACAGTGGCCAGCTCGCTCATCTTATGCTTTTTTGAGAGAAGATCCTTCAGGAACTTCGCATACTTAGGCATTTGAGATAGTGCCTCCGGGAAGGGCACTTGAACATTCAGCTTCCTAAGCATGAACATGAAGTTCCTGAACTCCGCCTCTAGTCGGTCTTAGTGCATCTTGGTGGGAAAGGGGAGCTTAGGTTTATATTCAGCCACTACTGGTTGGGGATTTGGGGCCCGAACCTCTGGCTCCTCTTCCTTCACTAGGTCTTCTTCTGACTCCGTGGTGATATGTGGCACCTTCTTTGCACTCCTCGGCGGTGCATCCTTAGTCACAATCCCACTTCCCAGCATGATGGCGTGCAACCCCTCCTTATGATTTCCGGGATTCGGCAAAGGTTGGCCATGTAGTGTGCCAGCTGGTCTGGAAGCAATGGCATCTGCCAGGTGCCCGATCTTGGTGTCCATATCCTGCATGAGTGCCTGCTGGTTCCTCTGGCTAGCTTCAATCTCCATGAATTTGTCCGCAGCCACTTCCATGAATTTATCCAATTTATTGAACTTCTAGGTATTAGTGCTGGCAAAGGTGGTCACTAGATCCCTCAGTTCTGACACAAGATCGCCCGGTGCTGGGACTGATGGAGATGCACTAGGCTGCTGGTACTGGTGCTGCTATTGTGGCTGTTGAAAAGCATGCCCCTGTCTGGGTTGATAAAGTGGCTGCTGTTGCTGCATCTAGCCCGGGCAGGATTGGTACGGTTGCCTCTGGTTTTGAAGGCCCGCTACTGGAGCCTGGAAGCCATGTGGCTTTGGGATTGTTTTTGCCACTCCAGGAGAAATTTTGGATGCTTGCACCATCCCTCGTTGTAAGTATTATTGTAGGGGTCATTGCGCCTAGCATTGTTGATGAAGTTCACCTGCTCCTGTGGTGTACTGGACTTACGCATGGCCTGACAGTCTTCTATAGTATGATGGGAGCTCTCGAGACAACTTGCACCAACTCAGATGACTGGGTGGCTACAACATGCACACCCCGACCTAGTGCTCGCCTCAATCTCCTAGCAGTTCCCCAATCATATCCCTGCACTGCCATTTCTTCGAAGAGTCGATTCAACTGCGGTGGCGTCTTGGTCAACATGTTCCCGCCGCAAAATGAGTCAATCAACTGCTTGTCTTCTGGGAAGAGGGCGTGGCAGAAAGTGCCCACCTTGAATAAGTCATTGAAACCATGATTGGGACACTTTAGGAAGAAACTGGTGTATCTCTCCCAAGCATCCTGAATGGTTTCATCTTCCTCCCGTGCAAAATGAGTGATCTGCTTCTTCAGGTCCCCCGTCTTTGATGGAGGATGATAGTGTGTGAGGAACTTGTCTTCCAGGTTGGCGAACGTAGTGATCAATCCCAGAGGCCAACTATCCAGCCACTCCTTGGCCTGCCCCTCTAGAGTGAATGGGAAGTATCTCATCTGGATGGCATCGGCATGGACCCCATTTATCTTGATCCCATCGATCAGCTCGCGGAATCGCCGTAGGTGCGATCTGGTACACTCCCCCTCCTTTTGTCACGACCTTACTCTTGATCGTGCGGCCCTAGCTCTCAATTCCGTTAGAGCGCTAGGCAGCCTTTCTCTAAACTCACTTGCAAGCAAAGAAACAAGACCAAAGACAAAGGAATTGGGAGAACTCTCTAGTGTGTATTACTCTAAAAAATCATGGAATGAGTTACAAGTGAGGGAGATGGCTCCTTATTTAGGCCTCTCCTCATACAAGGTATCATTGCCCCTCATAATGTCCCTCTACATCAATACACCCCATCAAGTCCCCCCATTATGCACTCTATAAATGTCACCCATTATGTGACTCATAAGTGCACCATTAAGCTCTCATTTAGGTGGAGAATCCTAGGAGCATCTCTATGCTACTAGTCTTCCATACATGCCACATGTGCAGCCCCCATGTTGTCACCTTGTTGGAGCCATGTCATCTGCCACATGTGACATCCTCCCCCACCTATGCTCGCGACGCCCTCGTCGCGTCCTCTTGATGGTAAACCTCGATCAAGTCCTTGTTATTCCAAAGCGTGAGATTTTTCTCCCAAGTTGCCTCACTCTCCGGAAGGTTCCGCCACTTGACCAAGTACCCCACAAAGCTTGGATGTACGCCACGACGAGGAATGACACGACGCACCATGATTTCTTGAACTTCATGGTCGTGTGTCTTGGTGATGAGTGTTGGTGCGCGCTGCAACTCTCGTCGTTGCTCGTCCTCATTGTGTTCGTGGAAAGCCTTGAGTTGGCTCACACGGAAGACCAGATGGACCTCCAAATGCGACGACACCTCCACCTTGTACGCCACCTTGCCAATCCTCTTCATGATGGGGAATGGCCCTTCATAGTGGCGAAGTAGTCCCTTGTGCACGTTCTTGAGATGCTTGAAGCGATGAGGGTAAAACTTCACCATCACCATGTCTCCCTCTTCAAACTCCAAGTGTCGCCTCTTCTTGTCCGCTCATTTCTTCGTCTTCTTACTAGCACGGGCTAAGTAAGACTTGGCCATTTCCATCTTCTCATGCCAGGCTTTAGCGAAGTTGTAGGCTGCTGGACTGTTGCCTCAATAACCTGTTGCCACCGTCGTAGGTGTCAAAGGTTGCTGCCCCATCGCCAACTCAAATGGACTCGTGTTGGTCGACTCGTTGCGGTGCAAGTTATAGGAGAACTGTGTCGTGTCCATCAACTTCACCCAATCTCGTTGGTTTGCACTCACGTAGTGCCGCAAGTACACCTCCAACAAGGCATTCACCCGCCCCGTCTGTCCGTCGCTTTGAGGATGAAACGCCATCGAGAAGTTCAAGTTTTAGCCCATGAGCTTGAACAACTCTTGCCAAAATCGGCCCATAAAGCGCCCATCTCTGTCGCTCACAATGTTGCTAGGAATGCCCCAATACTTGACCACATTCTTGAAGAATAGACGTGCCGCGTCCTCTGCCGTCAAGTCTTTTGGCCCAGGAATGAACACTCCATACTTCGAGAACTTGTCTACCAAAACCATGATGCAACCGCATCCATCGACTTTGGGAAGTCCGATGATGAAGTCCATGCTTACACTCTCCCATGGTCGTTGAGGCGTGGGCAAGGGCTCCAGCAAGCCTGCCGGGCTTCTCTGCTCCATCTTGTCTTGTTGGCATACAAGACAAGTCTTCACATACATCTCTACGTCGTCTCTCATACGCGGCGAGAAGTATGCTTCTTCAATGAGCTCTTGCATTCTCTCGATGCCAGAATGGCCCACTCATTTGGAATCATGGCACTTGACACGCTACGACACAACACCTAACAATGGCCAAGTGTAACCAATGAAAGGGACTGCAGTATAGTGGCACAAGTAATAAATATCGAATCCACGGGTCTCTAGAGTTACTATTACTCAGCTTTAGTTCATTATCTAGCAAACTAGATTAATGATTGATTTACTAAACTTCTCTACTAATTACAAGTTGGGAACTCACTTCGGTATGATTCCCCCAAGCTCCTCAATTAGGTCCAAGTTGCAATTACCTTTGGTTGATCTACTGTTGATTAAACTGCGGAAGATCCTAAATTAGCTTGGAATCTCTTAAGCTGACCAAGCCCTCTTAGACATAATACCCGGCAGGCGACTAGCCTTCACCTAGATAGACTGCTAAGGCAATTCACACAGATCTCCACTACTGGAATAAATTCCAGTACAAAGCAGTGAATTGATTGACTCTCGCACAACCAATTCACCGCTATCAATCAAGGAAGCTCTCTTAACCTAATCAGATTCTATCTATCATAGGTTAAAGTAGAAATCAAGAGAAGATGATCAGGCTTCAATTGACTCTATAAATCATGCCTCAATCAATTATAATCAAACAATATAGCATCCAAAACTTCATACAAGAAAGATCCTAACACATGGAACTAGGGTTCATCAAAACCTAAGTGAAGGGAAGTTACTCCATAGAGAAGAGAGAGAATGCAGAAATTTGATCTAGATCTTCAATCTCCATCTCCAAGCTTGATACCCGAGCTCCAATGGCGAAGAAATCCTCCAAAATAGCTCCAAGAATGTTCCCAAGTCGCTCTCTCTCTAGGGTTCGTCCCTTGGGTGTTTGGGATCCAAAAACCCAGCTCCAAGATCGCCTCTAGGGTGAGTTCTTCGCCCTTTCTCTCTCTAGGGCTCTGTTTTTGCTTTGAAAAGTCGATTCCCTCACTTGTGGCTCGAAATTGGGTTAAAACCAGAATTCCCGACTCACACGGGCAGGCCACACGGCCGTGTGGCTTACCCATATGCCTGTGTGAGAGTCAAAACGCCGAGTTTCGATTAATTGGACTTCAGGCTACCTACACGGCCAGGGACACACGACCGTGTAGGATCTCCAGTCTGCTCGTGTGAAGCCTCGCACAATCCCACACGACCACATTGGTTACTTACATGGCCGTGTGGATTTTATGAGTGCCCGTGTGGCTTCCTCAACGACTCGCCCCACATCCGATCTTCGTCCAATCGACCCCGAACTCGCTCCCAAACCTTCATTCACGTACTAGGACCTGAAATATCACAAAAAAGCACAACCTAGCGTGAAATCGGCCTAAAACACAAGAATCAACATCTCAAACGGCTCAAGAATAGGGACAAAAACATGTGCAATTAACGGTTTATCAAACTCCCCCACACTTAACCGTTTGCTTGTCCCCAAGCAAACCAAGTCAGACACCAGGTAAGCTCACCTATTTCAATCATACCAACATTGGGGACAAATCATATATGCACAGAACACGTGAATCATACTGGCTTTCAAACATCAGCACATGAACAACTTCAATAGCAACCTGGACAACCACCACAGAAGACATTTGAGTGCAGCAAAATCGAGTAAAGGAGGAGTCTCCTTTTTGTTGGTGGGCACTATTTAGATTTTTGGTGGTGGCTCTCTTTTGCTTTCATTTTTTTCTTTGTTTTTCTTTCATTTCTTAAGAGAACCACCACCTCTACACATTTTTCAAACACCTGCAACTTTTTAAGAACTACCTCCAACCCTCACACCGAAAGAGATGCAAAAGGGTGATTTTTCATTGCACACCGAAAGAAAGGGTAACACACTGCTCAAAGGTGTTGACAAGGGGTATGACACACCAGGACAGCCAATTTGGTCGTGGGCTAATCCTATGCCTCCATCATCTTACCTAATGACAACGTGAATGCTACACATTATGGACGAGGGAACTATCGCACAAGAAAGAAATGAGTAGGCTCAAATCTCACATGGCTACCTATATGCTCTATCTCTCATTCTGATTTCCTGAACTAGATGCATAAACGACTGTCAAGAAAAAGTGATCCATCCAAGTCACAGTTGGTAAGCAAACAGTTGAAAAACTGAACCCCTACACAATCCTACTGCATGTCTCAGTCATCATAATAGGCTGTCCTAGTCACCATCCAGTTGTCATGCATTAATCTGAAAACCATTCAATTCACCAATCAAAACACAGTGCCAATATGATCAAACAGCCGTACTTGAAGCCCTCAAATCTCGAGATTTGGACAGCGGACTTGGATCCAAGCACACAAACCCATCTAGCAGTATAAATAGATAAACACCCCCCACACTTAAGCACGACATTTCCCTCAATGGAGCAGAGGGGAAGAGAAGGGGAACGATGTTACCGTATTGAAATACTGCAGAAGACTGGAAGTGGACCAGTCAGCGGGGGACATATGGAACGAACAGACAGTTCTGCACTAAGGGAACATCAAGAATACACTAGCACACTGTGCGTTAGGGATCAAAGTTGGCCCAGATGGCCACAAAATAAACAATCCACAAAAGAAAGAAAAATGATAAAAAACAAACGACAGACTCAGTTCAAGCTCCTCAAACACATGGAGCAAACATAAAAAGTCTAAAACAAAAACACACACTGAGGGGCGACGAGTACAGCCTACTCATCGCCAAGGTTGTCCAGATCGATGTCATTCATGAAGGCATCATCATCATCAGCTGGTGGAGGTGGAAGTGGAGAGTCCTCCCAGGGAGTCCTCCAGACCGGCTGCTCGCCCGGTAGCAGCTGGAGCAGGTGCTGCTTGACCTCCTACATGCGCCGAGATCGGGCCTGCTCCCTCTCGATGCGAGCCAGGGTCACCCGCTGCTGGGTCTCCATCCGATCAAGATGCTCATCATAAGCAGCCATCCAGGTCTGGTACTCGGCATGGTGAGCCGAATACTGCTGCTGGAACTGGAGCTGATGGTCGAAGAGCTGCTGATTCTGGAGACGCAGCTGCTCGAACTGGTGAGTGAAGTAGTCCTGGCTAGGGAAAGTGGAACTGCCACCCCCGTACTCGAAGGTGGTGGGGCGGGGGGCAGTAGCGTCATCCACATCCTCGGGGTGGACGTCCTCATCAGCCGCATCCTCAGGAACCTCTGGCTGGTCCTCCGCTGGGATTTGAGGTTGAGGAAACCCCACGATCCACTTGACTCCTCGCTCTTCTCGAAGTAGGTGCATG